ATTTTTTCCATCCAGCTTTTCAACAGTATTTTCATCTTCCACCCCAAGGACCAGTCAACTTTCAAGATCAACAAGATGTCTATTCAACATAAGGAGGGAAAACTTACATTCGGCATTCCTAAACATTGTAAAACAAAATCCAATAACCATCTATACAAAGTCACCTGGGGTGTCTCTTAAATTCTTTTAGGCAAACACCAGGTCTTAGGACATTGGTTGCAAATCAAATCAGAGAATTAAAAACAGAAGTGCGAGATTTTAAAAGTTTTTTTTTTTACAAAAGTGCAAAAACTACGAACCCTAATCAAGACTTTCACACTAAGAAACTGTACATTCTCAAGATGAGCTCTTTTTGTTATCAAGCCGGTTACAAAAAAACACAAAACTGTTTCCATCCCCCTTCCCCCCTTCTCAATTCCCAATTTTTTATGATCGTTATTTATCAAAATGAGAAAAAAGGAGCCCATTTCAAGTCCCAATCTTGATAAACCATAATACTCACACTGGCACTTCTTCTTGAGGAATATATCCATCTTTAACTCGTCTTGGCTTCCTCCACGAACCATCAGGACGTTGAGTTGCCGGAATTATCAACTCCCCTGAGGATAATACTATAAGTCTTCGAGGGTCTTGAGGAAAGTTTTAAACGCGAAACTCTCAACACGTGGCCAATTCTTGGAATTGGTGGAGCGGATATTATCGCGTAGCAATTCATCAAAAAAATTCTGGAAATATTCACTCAGCACGATACAAGCTCCTTTTCAAGGCGTCCTTAAAGTCAATTAAAAAAGAAAAGCACACTCCCATTCATACAGTGGACAAGAAAAGCAGTCAATGTAGGGTTAGTAGAGGAAACACAGAGCTATCTTCAGACAACAAATTTTAAAAATTTAGAGAACGAGTTGATAGTGACTGAAACAGTTCCAAGTCATAAAAAAAGAAGAAGACATTTTTTAAAAATAGGACAGAAAATACTTTTGAAAAGCAACCCATCATAAATTCAATTTGGAGCAACACAGAGCGAGGCATTTTCAAGTAAACTAAAAATTGTTCTTTAGATTCTGCAAATAGAACCAACACTGGCCTTGACTTCAAGAAAAATAAGAAAACCCTTAAAATAACCCAAAAAACAGAACTGCAGCTAACAGGGATTTTGACAAAACCATTATCTATTTATTTCTTAAACTCCATTTAAACCCACTTTAAAACCAATCCCTTCATTTAGCATATTATTATGTTGCATTACTACTTTCTTTCGGAGTGGAACAAGACAAAATATATTCTCATGCATTCAAAGAGACAAAATGGAAAAGAGAGCATGTCAATTTTACACTCACAAGCATTTTGGAATAAGGAAAAGTTACAGAATTTGATTCAAGGTGAACAGATTTATAAGTGTTCAGCTTTTCTACAAAACGAACAGAGAAAGAGAGAAAAAAAAAGCAGAGTACAGGTCACTGAAGTCTTCATCCAGACGTTTTATGTATATATATTAAATCTGAAACATTAACTCAGGAATAACGTGAGTAACTGGTGACAGAAGGCAAGGAGCAAACATGATTGAGCGTTGCTTCATGAAATATACAGTACTATTAGGAAAGACTCAGCCCTCTTGGTATTTGTAAAACTGTCTCTAAACTCGAACCACACAATCCCTTGAATAGAGTATAGAGATCCCACACTTGTAACTTTTCGCTTTTTTTTGTTCTCTGCTGTCGTTTTTGCTCACCACCTCTTATGTCCATCCATGTAAAAACATATTTCTTGTGGAATTTCTGGCTTTCCTTAACATTACATTATAAAAACATGTGATATTTTACTTAAAGTATTGCAAAAACTCAAACCAAAAGCAAAAAAGCATGACCTCTTCAAGTTGGAGGTATCCATCATATTCCACTATCACTAATGTCTCTAACACACATTGCACTCGAGCTATGAGTATATTCATAGCTGCCGCGTGCTTCCGATCACCGAGCTACGAGAATAGTTGTAGAAAAATACCAGTCCACAACATCGAGTCCAAACCACTTATCCAGGTTTCTATTGAAAATAATAGGTCGCTTGTAGCTTACAATAAAAACTTTAATTGCTAGCTTGTTTTGATCCAGTTTTTCGCCAAGTGCGAGTTAATTTTGTTGTTTTGTCACCGCAAATCATGGCAAGAAAGCGAGCACTAAAATCTTCATGGACGAGAAGAAGAAAAAAAAGCCACAAAAAAACAACAGCGCATGGCTATTTTTGTGTTTGTTAAAATATACAAACCATCTTTTTTAGTTTTGTTTTAGGCATAAGCGGCAAAGAAAATTAAAGTAGACGTAACTTTAGAAAAACAAGGCGATCGGATTGATTTTGCAGCCTTGAAAACTTCCAAGAAAAGCTAGATCTAGACCATAGATTTACTGTACGCTGCTATCGCTAAATCGGGGGCAGATGAGTCACAGTCTGTCAAAGAATATAATATTAGTTTCTCTGCTCTTTCCTTCATCTTTCTCTCTAATAATATTAAAAGACCATTTCAAGTAAAATCTAAGCGAAATTTCATATTTGATACCTTAAATAGTTTGAGCACAATGGGTGTCTAGGGTTAGTGTGTCGCGTTTAGACCGATTTTTTCCCCGGCTCACGGCAAAGCAACGCAGGGTGAATTGGGTTAACTTTTAAAAAGTATCTCAGTTTATTTAAGTTTAACCTATAAAAAAAACTTGCACACCGAACAAAAAATTATTGGTAAATTGTTAGCAACGAAAAAAAATTACTTGGACGAAAGCAATCCTTTTGCCAAAAATAAGATATAATGAAAACTTACAAAATTAACGGCAATTATTATAAAATCCTTAAAACAGAGAAAACTATTGTTAACGAGTTCTTTCAGCAAATGAACTGCCGACAGCTTTCATGTTAAATTGGTGGAATTTTTAAAGAGGTATCGTCTTAAGTTAAAGCTTGTTCATTTGTTTTGATTTTTGATTTAAAAAATACCCATCTAGATCTTGAATAGAAGTCGAGATATTGGAAAGATTGAAGAATATCGGACGAGCAGACTGACTTTGCCTATGTCTCAACCTTAGGAATTCATCATTTTCCCGTTTTTAATATCTCTCAATGGAGAATCTCGGACCGGTAGATCTATTCATTAAAATTTTGTCAGGGGGCCCTGAACCCCCCCCTCCTCCACCCCAACCACCCGCCCCATCAACCCCACTTTCTCGCACAAAAATGTACGAGTGGTCCGGTATTCTTCAATCTTCCCGAGATATTTGCAATTGAAGGAGGTGGGGGTCACCTGATGTAAGACGTAAAATTAGCAAGAAAATGGGCAACAAAGTTTTGGAGAATCTCATTATTTTTCAGGAAAATTAAGTCAGAAATGTGTTTTGGACCTGTGTTTTAAATAGAATGTATGAACTGTTGTGCTAAAAATAAAAGATAAAAATGTTGATTTCTTCACTCAGTACTTAGGTGAGTGCCTGATTTCACCACCATGCCACACAAGTGTTTCTTTTTCTTTTTTAAACAAGAAGTACAAAGAGATGTCTCCATGTCAACACAATGATTCAATGATAATGTGTTTTCACTTTTTTCAAATTCCTGTTGAAAGCAAAATGTTGAAAAATTCATGTTGTAGCCTACAATACAAATAAATTCAGGACTCAATCTTTATATCAAATCAAAATCCCTTGCTCGAACATTTCATTAAATGCGCTTACTTTTTTTCCACAGAGAAATCCCCATTTCCCTCCAAACATGTTTCCTCATTTCAAGGGGGGGGGGGGTGTAAAGCAAAACTGTGCATGATCATTGGTACACTGCACTCATGTCATCACAGACAATCATTTCAGAAATGACAAATGAAAGGACATTTGAATCATTTTTTTTCATAACCGTAGACGGAGTGAATAAAATCAAGGAGTACAGATTTCTCAGCTTCCTCTGCACTGAAATGTCAAAATTATAACTTTTTAAGCATCCAATGACTCAGTCTTGTTATCTTTCAGTTTCCCATTTCGAATAAAAGACATTTTACAGTGACATCATGACTGGCTAATTTCTGTGATGAGAAAGAGAGAGAGAGAGAGAGAGAGAGAGAGAGAGAGAGAGAGAGAGAGAGGGAGGGAGATACAGAGAGAGAAAGA